ACTGTTGCCTCACACCTCTGGGATTCTCTGGGTTCGTCGTTCCTCTGGGACCTGGGTTCGAGTCTCCGCTTGGGTCACATGTGTGTGGAGTTTGCATGTTCTCCCCGTGTCATCATGGGGTTTCCTCTGGGTATTCCGGTTTCCCCCCACAGTCCAAAGACATGCTGAGGCTAATTGGAGTTGCTAAATTGCCCTTAGGTGTGCATGTGTGAGTGAATGGTGTGTGAGTGTGCCCTGCGATGGGCTGGCCCCCCGTCCAGGGTTGTTCCCTGCCTCGTGCCCGTTGCTTCCGGGATAGGCTCCAGACCCCCCGCAACCCAGTAGGATAAGTGGGTTGGACAATGGATGGATGGATGGATGGCATTTAGGGGATCTGAACTGATGTTGGGGGATAATGAAGCTGTAAAACTCACCATGTGTGGAATTAATATGAAGCAGTGAATAAGTGGTTTAACCAGATAGGGGGAAAAAAGTAACCAATGGGAAGTGGGAGAAACCACTCTGCCAGGATGGTGGGGGTCAAATGCTTGTTCCTTTCTTCAGTACTTTCAGCAGACACTCGCAAATCTTCAGGGTGCCACTCACCTCGACAGCATTCTGGCACCGCTGAGCCGAATTCTGCAGTAGAGGAGCAAAGCCAAAGACAAACAGAAGGATAAGACTGACTTTGTGAGTGTGTGGTCAGAAAGCATTTCCGGCCACGGAATCTCATAATAATTGCACAAGCTTTGTAAAGGGGCTGAAAGGCACGATAATCGCTTTAAGTACGTGCAAAAATGTTGATGCGAATGTTGCAAGATTAAGTCTGGACCCAGTGCTTCCCTGCCAACCAGTTTCCAACCCAGAGGTTTTCTCCAGGAACATCCGTGTTATGTTTATACAGATGTGGTTGGGTGTGGCTGGACGTGGTCGTGGAATGACCACCCTCCTGTCTGGGCTCTCGAGGCCGATGGACGTCACTGGGACGGGGGACTTAGGGCCTGACAAGCAGGGTGGTGTGTTTTCTTTCATCCTTGCCGAGTGCATAATTAATTAGCCTCAATTAGCTCTGGTCTGAACGAATTCACCAAATCAAATTGCAAGCAATCATAAATTAGCCGAAGTCTTTATATTGTTCTGATTTGTTGAAATGAATGTGTTTTACATGAGGATTACATGTAGGGATGAAATGGAAAACAAAGTATAGTAAAGTAGATATTTCAGTTACTTACATATTGTCCATCTGTGGTGGCTGGTGACTAAAAAAAATCGAGGAGGTAAGAAAATAATATATTTTGCGAAGCTGCAATAGTGAATTTTTCGCCAAGAAGACAAAGAATGGGTTTTTAAATGTGAATACGATTCTAGAACTGCTAGAATTATTCATATAATTAATTTCTTAATTATTATTTATTAATCAGTCGTAACTTAATTTCAAATATGGTGGGAATGCTAACTCCTCCATATTGGACCCAGTCGCCTCAGGTGTTTATCAGTGTTCCATAGCGTGAGTCTGTCCCAGGAAGAACAGAATATTACACTGGGGGAGTTTAGATGGGATGCCGGTCCATTGGAGGGAACACATATGTACACAGTCACACGCTACGGGAAATTCAGAGACACCAGTTCACATAGGCTGCACGTCTTCCTGAAGGAAGCCCGGACAGGAATGGGGGAGGGGGGGGGGTACTTGTAAACTCCACACTAATAATGAGGAACCATAACTGAACCCAAGATATGGGGGTATGAAGTAAACCTGGAGACTGGAGACAGTGATGGTTACTCGAAACTGAAACTTTTACACGCTAGTTTTGGATTTTACTACTGTAGTTTTACAGTAACGGCTGCAGTGAAAAGCCGCCAGTTACAAAGCTGGCCGAAAATGGAGCTTAATGAGAATCTTGTTCATTTAAGAATAATAAAGTCTTCAGCTCAGTAGCGAGGCAATTAGAAGCATTGGCTCCAACAACCTGTAATTAGCACTGCGGGTAGCACTGCGGGTAGCACTGCAGTAAACACACTGTCTGCATGCCAGTGGGGCGCTTTCAGTAAATGTCACTGAAGGAAAAAAAGCAACCAAAAAAAAAAACACATCTGAGAGTTTATGGAAAGCCCACCGTTCAGAAATGTTTATCAGTCACACACATGGTGTGAATGTGAACAGAGGCGGAGCCTGGAATTCTGCCCCCCCCCCCAGACGAAATGTCAACCTGGGCCCCCGCATAGGCCAACACATTCAGTCTGAAGAAATATGGATCCCACGGCAACCAGAACTTTGCCAAAAAGGTTTCCCCATCTGTAGAATTTGCCTGGGGGGCAGGTCTCGCTCAGGAGATTTTGCCTAGGTGGGGGGGAGCCCTTCTGGAGATTTCTGAATGCCCCCCCTCAATGCCTCTGAACAAGAGAAAAAAAAAATGATTCCATAGAAATCAATATGGGTGCACATACTTTGATACATGATTTATAAATGTTTATTGGTCGAAATCTAGGACAAGTAATGTTATTAATTATCTGTAATTTGTGTTTTGAAAAATATAATTTAATGTGAACATATAGTGTTAATGTAGATTACAGTTAAATATATGACAGACTCTGAATAATGATAACCAACCCAGACTGTGTCTGTCTGTCTGCCTGTCAAACTGTCTGTCTGTCAATCTGTCTGCCTGTCTGTCAGTCTGTCTGTCAATCTGTTTGCCTGTTTGTCTGTCATTCTGTCTGCATGCCTGTCTGCCTGTCTGTCAATCTGTCCGTCAATCTGTCTGTCTGCTTGTCTGTCAATCTGTCTGTCTGTCAATCTGTTTGGCTGTTTGTCTGTCATTCTGTCTGCATGCCTGTCTGTCAGTCTGTCTGTCTGTCTGTCTGTCAATCTGTTTGGCTGTTTGTCTGTCATTCTGTCTGCATGCCTGTCTGTCAGTCTGGCTGCCTGTCTGTCTGTCAATCTGACTGTCTATCTGTCTATGGTAACATTTTACATTAACTGCACCATCAAAATGCATTCACAGAACATTAATAAGCTACATGTATACCCTAACATCCTAACGTACCTTAACAGGTTTAATATACACCAATAACAAGGATTATATGATTATATGATAATGCTTATCATGTTTGTTATTGATGTATACAGCAGTCAAAGTATGATAGGATGTTAAGGTATATTTGCATGCTGATTATAAATGTTCTATGAATGCATTATGAATAAATTATGGCAGTGCAATGAATATTCCATGTTCCAGTTAATGTAAATTGTTACTATATGAGCGTGTGTGTGTCTGTGTCTGTGTGTAAGTGTTTGTAGTAGGAAAATCCTGCCACTGTAGCGTTTCTTCTGTGGCCGGTATAAAACAATTAGGTTAACTAGCTTATGTGAAATTAAAGATTTTGGTCTAATGTGCTGCTTCTATATAAAACGGAACGAAATCCCTATAGTCTCTGTCGCAGTTTGATCGGCAGATCACCTGGCAAAAGCCTGTTTGCTACGAAAACACTCATGTGTGTTATAGTGTACATTTTAAAGTGCCCTGTCATTTGCTGTCTCATAGTCAACAGATCGTGTTTACCGAGGGTTTTATCTGCCACGACGCTAAAACCCGTAAATGTCCCAGCCAGTGCCACCTATGATCTGCCGATCACATCTGACTCCATTGCTCAATGTTTCAGTTCGCAGGTTCCGACGAGGCCCCTATAATTACTGAATACCACAGCGTCGGCCAGACTTAAAAATATATATGTCACCCACTTCATTTCTTAGTGAGGTGGTTCGGAAAAGTTAATAATTTAGTTAAAAAGCATGCTCAGGTGGGCTGACTTTGGCTCGCGATCTGCTTGTTATTTGTCATCTGTAGTTGAACCCTTATCCCCTTCTGAAGCGAATTATAAGCGGATTGCGTTAGTCCGAACGCGGGTGACCCTCAGAGGTTACGTGCCAATGACAGGAACACTTTGTTCTTCAAAAGTAAACAACCCAAATGTAGTGTGTGACTTTATTATTACTAATAATCGTTTGTTTATTTAGCCTATGTAGTGCATTACTATGTATTACATATAAGCGTATATTAATTTAAGCGTCAAAAAGAGCCAGTCTTAAGGTCTTCGTCATCTTTACAAATGTAATCGGAATCTAAATTCTGCTTTAACTGTTTTGGTATGTTCGTATTTTTTTTCTTTTCTTTTTACGTTTACATAATCTTTTTAATAATTAAAAAAGGTAATTTAAAATACTAAACGTTACTGTTGAAAATATCCTGGAAAATTCTCGAAATCACGTCGAACCTGTATAATTGCGCTTTGAATACAAAATCCAGCGGATCTGGACGTGAACAGCGTGCAGCGTCTTTCTTATGAAGGTACGTGCTGTCTGATATCCGTAAATTTTCCAGATGTATGAGGAATTCTGCAGGCAATTACATGGAAGTGGCGAAATTTATACCATGCAGCTTTTAACATTCACAGAAGTTTCTGGATGCGCAAGAACGTGTCTTGTGTAGCTATATTTTGTGAGATGTTGAATTAAAATATACTTATATCACTAGGAATCGTTATTATTCTTCCGGGTAACAGTCTGTCTTTTCAGCATCGGTTTTTGAATACAGCAAATAGTAGTTTGTTACTATTTTACTGTAAGTCGCTTTTATCCAAAGGAATTTTAACTGCTTACAATTTATATAAATACTTGCCATTTCACATACAGACCTACAATCTGCAAAGTGCGTTTGTCTTACAGCAGAATGATGCAGGAATTGTTTAAGAGTGTAAAAATTGAGAATTTGCCGTAGGGCGTGTAAAGCACTGAGACAAGGAAGAAGGAAGACAGCCTGTTGAGACACGTCGGGCTTCAGAGAGGTAGCGCTCACCTCCCTCGGCGGCCGGCCGGCCGGCGGCGGCTGTACCTGGGAGGGCGGGCTCTTCTGGGGGACTGTCGGCATGCCTCGGCGCGTCACTCGCTCCATCCACCGGCACCGCGGTTGGGCGCTGAAAAGCCAGCCAATCAGCGAGGGGGGCAGATTTTAAAAGCTGTGGGGGGAGAAAATAGTGAAGCAGGAGGGAGAGGCTGCGAAAAAGGGTGGCAGAACGGGAGAGAGAGAGAGGGAGACCGAGGAGAAGGCTGACTGAGCTGAGAGGAAAGAGAAGCGTCAGTGTTAAGGTCAGCTGGTGCTTTTGACACAGCAGCACCTGGGTTGTGGGGACCATGAGATGAGTGCTGGTGAAGCAGGGTTATCTTAACCCCCATTCCCATCCCCTCCTCCTCCTGCGGCCCAAAGACCCCAGAACCACCGAGGTCCAGGGAGCTTCAGACGCCAGCATGCAGTCCTCGGCTCGCCGCGCTTTCCCACCTTCTCGTCTGCTGAGACCGTCGTCGGCAGGGTCGGCATCCAAGCTTCGCTCGGCCGCAGGGGGCGGCTTCAGCAAGCGTCCGAGGGCGCTGAGCCTAGGGGAGCGGCCCGCGGTGGACGTACCGCTCAGCAAGCGCGAGATGGCGCCCCCTACAGGTAAGGCCGCCTGAACGCTCCAGCAGCTTGCGGGCTCGAATTGAATCCCTCGACCCTGGATTCATGGTTCATGTGCCGGCTTCAGCCATTGCCACAAATTTACCAGTTTAATTAACGAATAGGTCAGCTGTCTCAAGTTTTGGTAAAATAACATTCTTGTGTGTCTTTAGACTACAATGGCCATAAATGCAAGGCAATAAGGGCAATAGTAATAATATGTAATAACCAGAAATGTCATCTTTTCAGATAAACATTTATATATACAGACAAACGAGACACATTAGAGGTAGTAGATAATGTATCTATAATACTACAGCCATCTTGTGGCTTAACTGAAGTTAAAACTTTCTGACTGAGTCAATAAATGGGCTTTGCTTTCCGCTGGCTAAACAAGCAGTCGAGCGCATACTCACTTCCTGCTTCATGCCCTGGCTATTTGTGGCGTTCCTGGTCAAAGCCTGCGTCAGCTTGTGAGCCATTGTTCCCCTGTGCGCCCCCACCCCTTTCTGGGGGCCGAGGATTAGGGCAGCGGTGACGGGTCTTTCAGCACTGGGCTTTGCCGGCCCCCCACATCACCGGCATCATCACATTCCGATCACCTGGGGCCGCAGGGCGGGGATTATGTGAGGCAGCAAATCGATTGTTACGCATTTTTACATTTAAAACTCGCCATCGGCGTAATGCAGTCTTTCCTGGCTGTTTTGTGATTTCCTGACCTCCGTGGTTCAGTTCGCTTAAACAGATGGTGGTAAACATCAATTGGCGACCTCGTTCCTTTCCAGTCCAACGGCGTCATGCAGCGACATGATGGAGGACAACAGTCATACATGTCAACTATAACTACTGAACAAATGGCAGGACATAGGACAGGCGTGATATACCTGCCAATCACCCAGTGCTTAGGGGACCAGTTTGAGCTGGCAGAATGTCATTTGAAGAAGGAGACTGGTGGATATTTTATTGAAGTAACTTGGGAGGGACACTTTGTTTCTGAGTGGCTAAAAACATCAACGTCAACATTCGTGGAACCTGCAGCTACAAGACAAGCAAGCTGAGAAACGTTTACAGAAGTAATTTCAAAAGCGTCTGGGTATTATGTCTCATAGGTTTGATTCTCCAGCAGTGTGTCTGGATTTTAAATGTTCATCTTCTCGTAGTTGACGGCGTTTCCTGCGATGGTTTGGGTGGATCAGTGTCTCCGACTGGCCCGTAGTGGCTGTGCCCTGTGATGGACTGGCACCCCATCCAGGCCGTTTCTTGCTTTGTGCCCCTCTGCTTCCTGGGATGTAATGCACTGCTACGGAAGAGTGACAGTTCCAAGGACCATGCAACTCTAGGTTTAACGGTGATCGCAAAATTAAACAGGCTTCACAATAAGATATTAAGATTGTTGCATTTATATTCTCTGTCTGAATTTTTGACAGAAAATCCATCACTAATGGCAGATATTAACATCATCCATCCCATCATCGGCAACATATAGTAGTGGGAAGGATTACAATTCATTAGTGTTCCCTGCGATTCAAACTCACAAGCTTTGCATTTTTAACACACTATTTGTTAACTTACTGCGGGATAATTAGATGGTCAGGTATCATTTTTTGGTAAGTGTTTTTTTTTTTAACTTACAGCTGCAGATTTTCATACCTTTCACAGCTAGGTAATCACCCCTAGTACTTTTTCTTCAATTGTTAGCTCAATGGTAAAACAACAGACAGTGTGATTGTTAGGGTTAACCTTAACTTACTGGGGAATGCGCCAGATACTACAAGCAGCCTGTTACCTAATTCCTGCAGAGTGGACAACGGGCGGGTGATGGAGAGCGAGGGGCAAAGGGGCCCTGAAAGGGTTAATCCGGGTGATGCATCTGTGTTCGATTAATCTCCCCTGGTTCCCCTCCAATGCCCTCCACGATAAGCATCTGGATATTGTCTCTGGAGTGTTATGTCAGATGTCTGCGCAGGACGCAGCGCACCTGAGAGCTCAGGTAAACAAGCGCCGTGTGGCTGCCTCTGCTGCCCCCAGGGCTCCCGGCTTCCGCCCTCGCCTTTGTCTTCACTCAGCCCCATCATGGCATTCCAGGATTAGATAACGCTATCGCCCCACACAATGACACCATTTATCTGCTCTGTTTGCGGGCTTCCTGCCGCTTTTCATTGGCCACGGGACACACGAGGTGTTTAAACACTCGTTATTCGTTAATCTCTTCTCTCTCTCTCTCTCTCTCTCTCTCTCTTTTCCCCCTTTTAATCTGTGACACCGGGTCCACCTGGAAAATGCGAGCGAGTCGGGATTGTGTTTCCTGGAGAGCGAACTGAAATGGGAAGCGAATGAAACTTCTGATTAAGTGGCCTTATGTTTTTAATCTCAGGGTTCATCTGAGATAAACCTCCCCCCCCCCCCAAGGATTATCTAGCATCAGTGGCGTCTGGCAGCTTTGTTTCCAAAGTATAGCTCCTTCTTCCAGTGTTTTTTTTTTTTTTAAATCCCCCGCAATTCCCCCTCCCCCCGATACCTCTGAGACAGGGCGTGCTTTGATTTCTTCATACACTAGCAAACGCACAGCACTGTTAGGATCCCGGTCCTTCCCACCTGAGAGAGATCTTTCATCGATCAGGAGTGATCACCTCTCATGAATGTCTTTTCTGCTTTTCAGGACCGGAAAGCTATTTTTCCGACTGTGTTCTGTTTACATGCTTGCCTTTTTCCCCTGAATCAGAATTGATGGTGGTTCTGCTATCATGGACGATTTATTGTGAGTTATTTCATTTGCTACCTCTGTGGTTTTTGGCAAGTTTCTGAACTGAGGCGGTCAGTTATTTCACGGGAACAGTTTTGCTTTGGCGCCTACCTCAGTATAGCGCTTTGATATCTGTGAGCTTCTGGACTGAACCAGGGACGATACGGCGTGACCACATCACAGGGTGACGGTAGACCTGAGTGGGCCCGACCACAGACGACACGTCTGTCGGACACCTTTATCTCGGGCAGCTGAAGGAGTCACATCACACGTCCTTTAGAAGGTGAAATGTTTGCACGGCGGATCCATTGAAGTTCACTCGCATTCACCATCTCCTCAAAGACAAAGTTTCCTTTATTGAACACCTTTGAGCCTAGCCGAACGCTGGGCGCGGAGCTCTTCACGTCAGCCGTGATGGTTTGTGGCAGCAAAGACCAAACAGAAGGGAGATTTTTCCTCAGAAGGGCTGTGGATGGGTGGAATGTTTGCCAAACAAGCAAAGGCTGGAACAGCTGTTGTTGTCTTTGTGAGAAGGACTTTGGTTCCTGAAAAGCAGAGTGACTTTTAAAGCTGCATTTCTACTGCTTTTTGTTCAGTGAATCTCCCTGCCAACCACCACAGGACGTTTCACCATGGCGGCTCCCCCCCCCCTCCCCCTCCCCCACATCCCTGCTGCAAGATGAAGTCTTGAAGAGAAGTTCACAATCCCTTCCCCAGTCTGGGCCTGTTCTGCTTCACTGTCTGCCGAGTGAAATCGCTGAGTATGGCTCTGTGGCATTTCCTCAAGCTCAGTGGTTTCTCTGAAGGCCCAAGTCGAGCAGACATGTGACAGGGCCCTCGGCTGCTCGGGCTACAGTGATTCCTCCAATGAGAGGGCTGCCCTGCGGCTTGGGCTTCCTGATAGGCCAGCCACTGTGTCGCCAGATACTTATTAATCAATTCAAAAGATTTCCGGCAGAAATCTCTTAGAGTATTGGGATGATGGTAGAGTGAGGAGGTATTACTTCTAATGAAAGAGTGTAGGGTATGAATGAGAAATTCATACGAAGCGTCAACACAACACATCTGTCGAAAGTGGGGAAGAAGGGTTGGCTTTAACTAAAAATAATAATTTAAAAAAACCATCCAGAATTCCTTCAGCATCTGTGGCTGTCACAGCCCGGCTGCCTCAGCTGTTTTTGCGTCAAGGAGTTCTCTGTAAACTGCGAGGTGCTTGGTGAGGATTGTCGAGGGAGCCGATTCTCAGTGTGAGATGTCAGGTAGTCGACAGAATTTCTCCCTGGGGCTATGCATGCTGTAGGTAATGTGTCCTTCCCAGGGGGAAAGGTGCTCGCTTCTGGTGTGAGATTAGAGTCAAATTTCCAGAGGAACTTTCTAGCGCGTCGGCTTTTCCGCTGTCAACGATCCGGAGAAAAAGTGTTCCACTGTGTCCCAGAATCATATTGACCTACTGCAGTTCTTTTTTTTCCAGAAAAGTGTGGAGATCAAATGGGCTGCTTAGAGAGTAATTCAGGCGAATTAAAACCCCAGTATCGTACAGAGTTTACTAGACCCTGATGGCATTCAGCAATCAGTGTTCGGCTTGTCAGCCTTTGGGCCGGAAACCTCTGGTGTTTATCGTCATGGAAACGCAAGTCGGCTTTAAAGACAGCATAGGTTTGCAGAGGGTCGGAATTTTCAATTGCCGCCAAAGATTGAGGCTACATTATTACTTTAAGTTATTCAGGTGAATTCTGCAGCGAATGTCTTTAAGGTACCATGCTGGGGTGCAGCTGGTGTATTTATGTGTTATTTTGGATTATAGAAAAGGTGAAACAGCCTAAAACCAGACCTAAATGTATGAAAAGGGAAAAGGTGTAATTAATGGTGGCTTATGTTCTAATGTAGGAGCACTAATCTGAGGTCATAGTGGACTTTGGCTCGCAGGTCTTCTGAGGTGTTTTGGAGATATATACAGCATGAAGCTCAGTGCCAATACAGTGTAGCGAGGAAACTGGCTTTACTGAGGCTGCCGGTCTTTTCCAGGTAAATTTTACACGGTCAGCATCTGAACAGTATCGATAATGACATCACATGACAGGCTTCGCTCTCCCTAGTGTAGACGGTTGTTATTATCCATTGTGGATCTGCTGTACAGCCTGTAACAAACACAATCTATACACTCATATATTAACTTTATTCATTTAGCAGAAGCTTTTATCCAAAGCATTTAAAGGAGCAGGTCAGACACTCCCTGGAGCAGTTGGGGTTAAGGGCCTTG